TTATTTATTTGACAGAGAGAGACACAGTGAGAGAGGGAACACAAGCAGGGGGAGTGGAAGAGGGAGAAGCAGGCTTCCCGCCGAGCAGGGAGCCCAATGTGGGGCTCGATCCCAGGACGCTGGGATCATGACCTGAGCCGAAGGCAGACGCTCAACGACTGAGCCACCCAGGCGTCCCTCCATCTTCCTGAAGTTATTTTCAACCGTCTTTCTTTCTTATTTTTCCAGAAGAATGATTATGAGCACAGACCATTCAAATCCTGTCTCTTCCTGCCTAGGTGTGTGACCTTGTGCAAGTTACTTAACCTTTCTGTGCATTAGTTTCCTTATCTGTAAAAGGGAAGTAATAGTTGGATCTACCTAATAGAACTGTTAGGCAATCAGATGATCTAATAAGTGAGGTGTAGAAAGTGCTTATAACAGAGCTTGGCACATAGGAAGAGCAAGATACATGTTAGCTCTTTAATACCCTTGGTGGTGATGTTATTTACAACAGAGTCACAGGATAAAAAATGCAAAGGATACAGAAAAGATATATATAGTCAGAGGGAAAGCTCTCGCCAGCCAGGCAATGCAGGGTGCACCTGTTGTTGGTTTTATGGTGGTGGTGTTGTTTTAAGTAGGCTCCAAGCTGGGCATGGAGCCTAACGCCGGGCTTGAACTCACTACCCTGAGATCAAGACCTGAGCTGAGATCAAGAGTCAGAGGCTTAACCGACTGAGCCACCCAGGTGCCCACAGTTGTTTTTTTCAAACCCTATTTGAAGAAGGGACATTTAAACAGACATGAATGAAGTGGAGGAGATACTTCTCCCATTCTCTGTTTTCTTCATCTCCTTATCAAGCCACCATAAAGCATTTATTTATGTAATTGCGGATTTTAATGTCAGAGTCCCTCCCCCCCACCCCAGCTCGTGGTGGGGAGCCCTGCCTGGCACCCAGCACGTCCATCACACAGGGCTCTCCATCTTTGTACATGAACCAGTGAGTGAGGAGCTTCTTGAGTGAATGAACCCATGGGCTGTTGCAGTCTGACTCCAAAACCAGAGTTCTGGATCCTTCCACCGCGCTGCCCGCGTTAACCAGCTCTGTCTCATGCTCCCACCCTCCCGGGCTCCCTGGCTCCTGTGCGCACCGCAAGCCACCCGATGCCACTCCGCCCACACGCTGTCCCAGGTCCCTCACCTTTCTGCACCTTGTCGCACAGCAGATAGAGCTCCTCGCCCCCCGTGCACGGCCCGCTCTCCTTGTTGATCCGGCAAATCCGCAGCTCTGACGTGTTTGTGGACTCTGTGCAAGCGCAGGAGGAAGTGGTATGTAAGAAAAGACGAGAATTCAGTCATCAAACCCTCAGCAGGTACCCCGTGGGTGCCCATGCCGCGCCAGGCAGAGATGGGAAATGGGGAAGCCGGGGCGTCCAATCCTCCCCGGGACCCATGGTCCGGGGAGAAAAAGAAGATGCTCAGAGGGATCAATGGACAGTCGCGAGTCCTCCATGCTGAGGTCCAGTGAGTGTCCCGCCAAAGGGAGACCATCAGCCCTCAGACGAGAGTTGGCAGGGTCAGGGATCAAGACCCTTCTTAGACGAGGATTAATGGCCTGAAATGCGTAGTGGAGACCTGTGGTTTTGCCTGTCTAACAGTCCTGGCCCTTCTTCTGTTAAGAGCCCCTCCATTTCCCTTCTAGGAAACAGCCCCCAGCCCCATTTCAGTCCTGGGGATCGGGTAGGGCGGGACCCACTCCCTAGCTCAGCAGTGATCACGTGCCCCAAATCTAGCCAATTAGAGCATTGCCTCCCTCTGGCCATAGCTGATTGGTCAGAGAGGAGCACATGCCCAAAACCAGGCCAATGAGAGCCCTGAGACTCCAACCAAAAATACTGGGTAAGAGAAGCTGTCGTTGGGCATCCGGGGAGAGGTTCCAAGCTGGTAGGATATAAGCCTAGAGCTGCATACAGTCATTTTGCTCCCACCATGGGAGGGCTGTGCCAAAAATGACTCTAACTTGAAGAAAGGATAGCTGAGAGATGGAAAGAGACGGATCCCTAATGACATCGCTGAGCACCTGGATACAGCCAGACCTGAAGCACTTTACTACCTCTGGACCTTTTTAGTTAATGGAACAAACAAATTCTTCTTCTTTTTTTCTCCTTCAACCCATTTGAATTGGAATTCTATCACTTGCATACATAAAAGCCGTGACTGGATTAATTTCCCTCCCCATTTTGAGGCTTGTGGCTGCTAAAACCTAACAGCCATTCCCAATCTCTTCTTCCATGCCCATCTCCCTCTGTAGATGATGGAAACCCGAACTAAATACTTGCTCTTCCAGACTCCCTTGCAACTAGGGGCTGCCATGAGACCAAGTTCTTGCCAATGAGGCATAAGCAGAAGTCTACCGGGGGGATTCTGGGGAATATATTATGTTCTGTATAAAAGAGAAAAGTATTACTGCTCAGGCTGCGTCTTCCCTAGAATTGCCTAGTACAGTGGTACAGGTTGTGCACTCTGCAATACAAGGAGGCCTCGTTTCCATAGGCTCCCTAATAAATGCTGACCACTGGAATTGGGCAGTGTACAGCCTGCACACCATACAGGGTGACACTGCCCCTCATGCCTTGAACACAGACATGATATCTGAAGCTGTGGCAACCAGCTCACAACCAAGGGAATCACAGAGCTGAACCACTGCCCTGATATTGCTGAGCAGCTGAATCAACACGAACAGACTTAATAATGAGACAAATAAAAATAACTCCCTGTTCGTCCATGCCATCGTACGTGGGTCTTTCCAGGACCTGTGGCCAGCAACAATCCTAATATGCCCAGCACCTTAGACTCACTCTTGTCATAGACAGGCTCAGAGAGCACAGGGTCCATCCGGCGCATTTGTCCCTGCTGGTCCCTATACGAAGCCTGGAAGCAAATCCTCACGACATTCATGTCCACCTCTTGATGGTTCTTCAGGGAGCCGGCTGTAGGAGAAATATGGGAAGGCTGAGGGTGGGGGATGGAGATGGCAGAGAGGGCTGGGGAGATAGTGGATACCAGAGAAGGGAGAAGGGGAGGGGACGGGGTGGCCGAGGGCACGAGGGGTTCAGGAGGACACGACAGTCAGGCTAGCCTCTGGGACTCACCATTGTAAGGGTCGATGCCCAGCTGAATCTTCCGCTCAATGGCGGCCTCGATCTCCTTCTTCCTCACACACTGGATGCCCAGATTGTTAAAGCTGAATGGGGAGTGGGGAGGAATGGGTGAAGGGAAGTACTCATGAAGAGGCAGGTCTAGCCCTAACCCACAGGAGGACTCCAGCAAAGATGCTGCCTTGGGGCTCACAGTCTCAGGGGCCCCAGCATTAGGAGCGGCCTGGGGTTTCAACCTCTCAGGAGTGTTGGGGACTCTCCGAGAGCACCTGGGAATGTCCCTCATCTTTACCACATGAAAACACTAGCCCACCTCCTTTATAATAAGAAAACTGCAAATTAAACATCAATGCGATGCCAATTTTTAAAAAGCTCATCAACACAGCAAGGATCAAAACGTTTGGTGACGCTCTCTACTGGTGAAGTTGTGAAGAATCAAGCACTCTCACCCACGGTGGGCGGGACTCTAAATGTAATCAGCAATTACATATGGGAGGACAATATGGCGGCATTCATTCATTCCACAAATATTTCCTGAGCGCCTACTGTGTGCCAGGCAGCATGTGGGGGGATACAGGGGGGACACAGCGGGGAACAAAAGAGACAAAATCCCTGCTCTCACGGACCTTACACCTTGGCTAAATTTATAAGTCACTGAAAGTTTACAGAGAGTAAATCACTGAAGTCAGAGCCAGTGAGTTTCATCTCTAGGAATTTATCCTAGAGAAGAGATGATATATACATAAAGCCATGCATTTAGTAACAGGGCCACAGGAGCTTGGAACCATCCTAAGGGCCCATTACTAGGGGGGCTTGTTCAATTAATGGTGTACAGCTGTACATTGGAATACTATGCAGCCAAGAAAAAGGATAAGGCAGCTCTAAATACTTACAGGAATGATCTCCAAGATGTACTGGAACTTAACAACGAGGTACAAATGTCTGCTACCATTTGTAAGGGGAGAAAAAATATACATGCATAGCATATTTTTAATTGCCTCCAGGAAGGGCCACTGACAGCTGCACGACCAAAGGTGGAAGGAAATTTATTTTTCACTGTACGGTCTTTCTGAACCTTTTATTTTTTTATTTATTAAAAACGTGTAAGTTATCAAGTGAAAGAAAGAATGATCTTGCAGTTATGTCAGGTCTGGAGTCAAATCCCTGCTCTGCCATCGGCTATCTGTGCTCCTTTACTCTTCCAAGTCTCAGTTTCCACCTCGACAAAATGGGGATGAATACAACTGTGTGTGAAGGTGTGTGCAGCAGGGGGCCAGGCCCAGGCACACCCCTCCACCACCACCCCGCCCCCAGGCCTGGCCTTGGTCTCCCCATCTAGGAAATGCAGTGGGGAAAATCTGGCCAAGTGGCCCCTTGCCCTAAGGTCTCCCTGGGTGATCTTCAGCCCCTCCACATCTCTGTGACCTGGGGTGAAGGGTTGGGGGTCAGGGGTCGAGTACCTGTGCCGGGGGCTGACATGAGGCCGGAGCCTCACCCTGCAGACGCCGTCGGTGCAGTCTTTCCCCACGAGGCTGTGGGGGTGGACTCGGTGAGGCCAGTCCTTCCACACCAGGCAGGCGGTCACCTCCACCTCCCGAAGCCCTCCACAATCCCGGAGCTGCAGGGAGACAGGTGCATTTTGGGGGTCCCCTGGCAGACACCTGCACCCATCCAAACTCCCTGGGGCCTCCTTTGATAGCTCCCCAACCTTCTCCCCCAGGATGATGGAAGGGGGTTTGCTTAAGACCCCTCTGAGATCCTAAACCAAAGGCTTCTGGCTGGTGGCCTGGGGGCCTCATAACAGGATAGCTGCCCCACAGATATGCTTTCTTTGGCCACTATGAGTTTTAAAAACTTGGATGCACACAGGGTCTCCAAGGACCGCGCACAGAGAATTTACTAATGACCAGTGGAGGAAAGCACCTTCACAGTGGAAAATCCACTGGACGCCACCTAAATCAGGTGATCAAGGTCAGCATCACCAATACAGAGTCAAAATGACCTGGGCAGTCTGACAGGGTGCACTGGGAAGGCACGACATCTCTTCTGTGACAACCCTCCAGGAGTATGTCACCCGAATCTCACTGTGATTCCTCAAAAGAGCCCAAATCGCGGGTCATCAGGTGAAAAAAATCAGTGTCGTGAAAGACGGTAAAAAGATGGGCAACATATTTCGGTGAAAATCAAACAAATAATATATTTGGACCTGGCTGGTAAACACAGTGTATACGTATGTAAAAATGTATAGGGCTGTACATGTAGATTTGATCAATTGCAACTTGATTTAAAAATAGTGGGGGGGGGGCGCCTGGGTGGCTCAGTTGGTTAAGCGACTGCCTTCAGCTCAGGTCATGATCCCAGAGTCCTGGGATCGAGTCCCGCATCGGGCCCCCTGCTCTGCGGGGAGCCTGCTTCTCCCTCTCCCACTCCCCCTGCTTGTGTTCCCTCTCTCGCTGTGTCTCTCTCTGTCAAATAAATAAATAAAATCTTTAAAAAAAAAAAATAGTGGGGGGGGAGGTGGGAGAGGTCAGAGCGACATGACAACCAAATGCAACATAGGATCCTTAATCAGATCCTGGATTGAGGAGGAAGAAACAACTATAAAGTATACTCTGGGGACAACTGGGAAATTTGACACGCTGGGTGATACCATGAGATATCTTTAATTTTCCTAGGGATGCTAATAATATTGTCACCACACGGGAGCTCATTTGAAGGAGGTGCCCACTGAAATATCTAGCGATGAAGTAATATGATGTCTACAACGCACGGTGCAAATAGTTTAGCAAAAACAATGTGTGCATTTGTCCGTGTGCGTGCATGCCCATGAGTTTGTATGGAGGAGCGTGGCAGATACAGCGAATGTGGTAAAATGTCAACTGGCAAATACAAGTAAAGGGCGCACAGGTGTTCACTGTACTATTCTTCCCTTTTTTCTGTAATTAAAAAAATGTTTCATCCAAACTCATCAAAATGTATGCATTAAATTTGTACAATTTTGTATATATAAATTATACCTCAATAAAACTTTAAAATTACAAAAAAAGACGAAAATTTTTGTTCACATTTGGGGAAAATCTGGAGCCTGCATTTAAAGAGTATGAGATGGGGCGCCGGGGTGGTGCAGCCAGTTAAGCATTCGACTCTCGGTTTCACCTCAGGTCAGGATCTCAGGGTCATGGGATCAAGCCCCATCTCCTGCTCCCCGCTCAGCTCCAAGTCTGCTAAAGTTTCTCTGTCCCTCTCTCCCTCTCTCTCTCAAATAAATAAATAAATCTTAAAGAAAAAATGCAAAAATAAGGGCACCCGGGTGGCTCAGTTGGTTAAGCGTCTGCCTTCGGCTCGGGTCACAATCCCAGGGTCCTCGGATCCAGCCTGGCATCTGGCTCCCTGCTCAGCTGGGAGCCTGCTTCTCCCCCTCTCCGCCCCCCATCCACCCACCCCACTCATTCTCTCTCTCCTCTCTCAAATAAATAAATTAAAATCTTAAAAAAATAAAAAGTATGAAACATCCCATTATTCCA